TTTTGTCTGGAAATATGTATTCAGGAAAATGGGAAAACTGAGAAAACAGGGGGAACTATGCAAAAATTAGATGTGCCAGTCACCAAGTCAAGGAAAAGTTTTATTCGGTTTTATTTCTTGTAATGTTTTAGTGATTACTCTCAGTTGCTCATCTTCCCCCTTTCCCATTCTTTCACCAATGTAACAAAAGTATCACAAAATTAAGCAAAGCATCATTTTAGGTTTTTCTTCATTCAGCAACAATACTATCTATGTTTAGCACCCTTCTTATCTTTGAAAGGAAGTCTATGTGCATTTGATATATTGTCAAAGCTAACAAAGCAAAGCAAAATTATGGTTCCCTCTGTGAAAGAGGATACAAAAGCTCAGAAAATATCACTGTAGAGACCCCTCAAATTAGGAAGCAACATAGCAATAGCATCGCACTTAGACTTATATACTGCTCCACAGTGCTTTACAACACTCTCTAAGCAGTTTATGGAGCCAGTATATCTGGGTCCTCATTTTACTGACCTTAGAAAGATGAATGGTTGAGTCAACCTTGAGTTGCTGAGAATTGAACTGTTGGCAGTTGGCAGAATTAGCCTGAAAATACTATATTCTAACCACTGCATGACATCATTATTTATTATGCACTTATTCACTGAATTTATATGGCTACTCAATCTATCCAATGAAATGCAAGAAATCCATGTAAGAGTTCCCCTTACTCACTTTTTGAAAGCTTTGAGTGGATAAAGCTGGAAGTTTTAATGAAAATCCTCAAGAAATGTACTACAAGGAATCATGTGACATTACAGAAGCTGTCCTGAGTAGTTCTAGCTAGCATGGCCTGTGTTGAATCTCTCAACCACATCTGAAGAAAGATACATTCACCCTTCTAGATGAAGAAATAAATTACTATATCAATCAAACCAGGAAGTGACCACTAAAGGGATAAAAATAGTCTCTGCATATCCAGATTAGTGTGACATAATCTTACTTCTATTGATAAATGTATAAAGATGCATCTCACAAGAATTTGCAATATCCCAAAACAGCTATTCAGAAGACATCAGCCTTCATGTACCGCAATATAATAAATGCATGTATTTTGCACGTAGAAAAAGTTTCAAAAATATTTTGTTGTACTTTGGGGATAGGATGAGAAATTGATGAAATGTACAATTTTAATTTTTCAAAGCTGTTACATATAATGCTAAGAACACAGTGATAAATCAGGCTGATATTTACACAATGATACCACAATGCTTATCTTAAAATGTGTTTATCCCTATGGATTATGCTAGTTATAATTTTCCTCAAACAGTTAAAATAAATCATACTTTTTACCACCTTTTATGCATACATCCAGCAGTGAATCAGCAGGGATATTATGGCCCAGAATTAGCTATTTGTGTATCAGCTGCTGAGTAACACAGCATGTACCATCAATTCATCTAAATGTGTTACAGCAGATCAATACTGAATCTGTAAAGCCATTTGTTCTTTGCCTCTACATGGCAAAAACCATCGCCTTAAGAATAACTCAATTTTCTTCATCTCTACACTAAATGGGACATCAACACTACAAAAGTAAACAAGCAGCACTAGCCGCAGAATATTCAACAGCATTTCTGCCTGGCAAGCCATGCAGGCCATGGCAAGCAAATGAATATTTTTTCTTTTAGATATCCCTTCCTTGTCTTATTCAGAGAACTAATTTTCACCCATTTTCACTATGGAGGAAACCGAGTGCATAGACAAAACTGTCCACATTTGACAATAAAGCAAGGTGATCTACCACAAAATCATTAGCAAGTCCCAATCTTTCTGAACAGAGCAATATGTCATAAATAATATGTATATAATAAAGTGTTCTGTTATTAAAGCAAAATGCCACAGATACCCTACCCAAGAGACTTCTAACTATTATACACAACTGCAAAAGTATTATCAAATAAGGTAGTGCTATGCCTTTTAAAAAATTTCCATTCAATTGTGTATGATTTTCAGAGACTGCTTGGACAAGCCCTTGCAGTTTTCTTGGCAAGGGTTCTCAGAAGTGGTTCGTCATTGCCTGCTTCCTAGGGCTGAGATACAGTGACTGGCCCAAGGTCACCCAGCTGGTTTCATGCCCAAGACAGGAGCAGAACTTATGTTCTCCTGATTTCTAGCCTGATGCATTGACCACTGCATTAAACTGGTTCTATATAAGGCTATGCCTTATGGAATGCCAATTCTTCCTTCTTGTCCTAATGATTTTCTGAAACTTTTTCCAGGAATATTATTTTTTTACTGCCTTATTTCCCCGATTCACATTCACCCCCAGACTTCTCCACAGAAACTTTGCAATAAAGTCTAAGTGCATCTAACAAGTAATATTGTAATATTTCTGGCAAAAATTATTTATAGATCTGGCGACAATAATGAATTAGTGAAAAGTTGAACTTAATTAGCTGACCATTTCCATTAATAATTCAAATGGATGATCTGATCAGCAATGGTTTGTGAGATGACTGCATGCAGCTTTTTTTTTTTTACTTTCTGTAATTAAATGCTATATTTTAAAAGATTTGCATCATAGGCAGAATTTGCTGCCTTCAAAAACTGCAATGTCAAAAAATAAAAACAAAAAAACCCTTCATGAGTACTGTATCCAAAACCAACAATTTCTAAAGTATGGCAAATCCTAGTTAATAAGATTATACCAAAGCTAACCTTTTACATAAAACATTACTGAAAGATCACATTCATTTATGCTAAATATGCAGCCCTGGGAAGTCACTCAATAGTCAACAGAGCAACATGAAGCAGACATTTGTTTAAATACACTGTGACCTCTAATTCTCTGAGGTACCACCTTATAATACTGGGACAAGGTGGTCTGGCATTTCAAAAACCAGGCAAAGCAGAAGAAAAAAGTTTAAATAATAAAGTATAGATGTGATTATGTGTGTATGTGTGTCTCTGAAAATTATAATTATAATAATAATACAAAGCAATGTTTTTGTCAATTTGGTTTTGCAGAGTTCTAGTGCATTCAAAGATGGGAATGGAACAGAACAGAACCTTGATTGTTTTTCCAAAGTTATGGAAGTATGAATAACTGATGCTTATCATTCAGTGTCAGAATTATCACTTGACTAAAGGAAGGACTTCTTAACTTTCTTTTAGCTGAAGTTTCTCCACCAACTAAATTTATTTCCCAAAATTGAACATCTGTGGGTAAAAGACACTGTGTACTCTGTTACTACCTACCCCCCAAAAAAGACCTACCCTGATTCGTGAGGCTGGGTCTAATATACTCAAAAAAAGCCCTAATTAGGATCCCACCCACTCCGTCTCACCTGGCTGCCACAATAGGGCAGAAGGACGTGCGGCATATTGCCACCTCCTTCTCCTCCACCAACTCTCCTGTGGCTTGCACTGTGACTGTCGCCTCCCTCTGCTAGCCCTCCATTGCTTCCACTGGAGAGAATGGAGAATAGGGAGGGGAACAGCTCTGTGCAGTGATGCAGAGAAGAGCACTTGCTTGCCGCCCTGCATCACCCCACATCTCCCTTCTCCATTCTCGAAATGGCAGCCCTGTTTCCTGCTGCTTCTTCTCCCAGTGCTGCTATAGAGCTTGGCGCACCATCAAGCAGCTCCTCCCTCTTTCTGAAAGCCAAAAAAATTCTTCACTATAACCTGCTTTCCAGCTCTGGTGTGTTTCTCTCCTGCTGCAGGGTAACGGGGTTTGTGAGACTAAAAAAAGTTCAGTTAGACCTTCCAACTTCATGAGACCTTTTTTTTTTTTTCGCAAGAAATTGGAAGGTTTGACTGAACCTTTTTTAGTTGGGGAAACATTGGCACTATATGTACGTAGACATACACATGCTAGGGTGATTCATAACATTCCTAGAATAAGACAAAGCAGGTACACAATAAAAGCCTTGCCTTAAGTGCCCCACAGTTTAAAATGCTGAAGGATGACCATTAAAATATCTGAAATATTGCTGCTGTGAAAATTGTATTGACTGTTCTTTTCCATTGTCTTTGTGCTGTAATTTCCTAAGAATATACTGCAGAGAACATTGGGATTATCCTAAGGCATTTTTTTCTTGATAAGGGGTAGCAAATGTCTTTTCTGGGCACATAGCAAATCAAGATCCATTGTCATATATAGCTGAGAGAGAAAATTCTTACTCTTCAGGAGATATTCTAGCCATTTCAGTCTGGTTCTTGCAAACTGATTATTCAATTATTCCTTTCCTCTGAGAAAGAAACAGAGGGCCAATAGGCCTGAACTGTTGGTCTTCAGGTTAATAGCTCCATATTGTTACTGCCTCACTTCTTGTTGGTGGCACATATTCCTATAGCCCAATTCCTGCTAAGCATGATCACAGACAAGAGTCCAATGGACTGACTAAGGGAAAGAGCTGGATGATGCCTAGTGTTGTGTCCTGAGCCTGTAAAAGCAGACTTGGGATGTTGCATGGGTCCTGGGCATTCCAAAAGCTGCCCAGGACCAGACAGAGTGGTGCCAGCCTTGTGCGCATGCGCAAGGCGTTTGCTGCCCGGGACCAGACAGAACAGAGACAGCCTTGTGCGCATGCACAAGGTGCAGAAATGCTCTGATACTTTGTTTGCCATTGTCCTGATCTCTGGTCACATAAAAAAGCCTGCTTGCCTTTGCCTGTTTGTTCGGTTGTTGTTAGAAGAAGAATAAAGAGCTGTTTAACCTCACTATGTGTTTTCATCATTCGCGCGCGAACGAAGTACTTAACACCTAGTTTAGTGAATGTTCCTCCATGGAAATCTATGTAACAAAACATAACATAGCACAGCAGATCAACAATTTGCAAATCAACAAAGCACTGAAAACAATCTAATGGTGGCTGTTGTGTATCTTGTTTAATAAATGGTTTTTTTAGTTGATACTTTAATCATCTTGCATGTTTTACCTTAAAACACTGGTCCTCTATTAAAGTGTTGTGGATTTAGGACTTAATTCTTTAAAGAAAAAGTGACAAACTTACAAAAAGAATTCTTGTGATTGTTTTCTTTGTTGGGCAACATCTTGACGCCTCTCGATTTCAGCTCAATTGCCTTTTTCACTGTAAAAGAAAACAAACCATGTAATTTTTTTTTCATATTGGAAGAAATACCGCACTCAAGATCTATTCAAGTTAATATGGAAAGGTATCAGTGTATTTGTCCGTAAGTGAATGTTTCATTTTATCATCTTTTAAAATGAAGTTTTAGTGAAACAATTTTTCTTCTATCAAAAATTCTCAATTGTTCTACTGTTAACTTGCAGAATATTCATTTATGGTATGTGAAAATGGATTCAGATATTGGAATGAATTGAAGTAAATCATGCTGTAACTTATTATTTCTGTATAAGTGATCAACAGGAAGAGCTGAGGAATGTTCTTATGTGACATGTCTTAAGCAAGCAGCTCAGTGATTACATGGAGCTTAAGAGAAACATTAGCCAAATGAAGCCTGTATTTCATCAATCCCTTTTCTGTAGGAAAAAATTCTCAGTGGAGAAGGAAAGATGATGAACTACCCAATATAAGACAAAGTTACTTAAACTTTTCCTCCATTTTCTGTGTTTCACATTGTGCCCAAGTTTCTCTTTAAACATTCCAAACTTACAATGTTTATTTAAGCATTTTTATCCTGCTGTTCAGCCAGAAATGCTTTTAGGGTTAGCATGTAGATCAATAAAACAATAAGGCAGCCTAAGAAATCATCCTTAACCATCTAAAAGATACTTCACAAAAAGAAAATGGGAGCCATTCTATACATTGAGAGTCCTTTCAGTGCCAAGGGGAATAGACACAAGATGTTCACAGTAATAATTTGAATCTCTGTAAGGAGGAGTTGCTTGTTGGAAATAGTGAATTGAACATATTAATCCAACCCATTCTCTAGCCCATGAGATAGTTCTCTATTTCCAAATACTCCATTTCAGAATTAGTTTTTTTATGGAGCAGAAATTAATCTGTATTTATAATCATCTACAGCTGGAATCTATGCTGGGGATGGCTTTTGATCCAGCAGATTTAAGAAGCAGGGATAAAGATTTCTCCTGTTTATCTTTCCTTTTCCAGCCTTTCTAGTGATTCCTCCATCTTTTTCTGAAAGTTTCCAAATTCATTTGATAGGGTTCTCTGGCTTTTCAAAAAAAAATTTTAATTTTTTTTAAAAATCTGCTTCTACACTTATGTCAGCTCAACATATGCCTGCTTAAAAAAAAAAAATCTGATGTTCTGGTCTGATCCAGCAACCATATCTTTTGTGCTTATCCTTTATCAGAAATTAAGCCAAGGAAGAGCCAAACAAAATGCATCTGTTTCAAAAATTATCTGAATATATTATCAGCTGTAGTTATAATGTTTAATATTTTCTGCATCTCCTTAATGCTGACCCTGATAATCAGATGCTGACTTATTAATTGCTCTAAAGCAATGCTTTGCTTGAATTAAGAACAATTAGTTGACTTCACCATTCTAAGCCATGAAGCATGTTCCTATTTATCCATTTGTATATATTAATTAATTATACAACATTTTTTTCTTTTCTTTCTTGTTCCTGTTTAAAGAGATAATGTGATAGTAACTTGTAAAATACTAGTCCAATATACACATTCCATATTTGCAATAACTGAAAATGAGTTGGCTAATATATAGATTTCAAATGGCTGCATGGTGTTGTAATGGTAAAAGGTCCTCCCCTACACACATACGTAAGCTGCATTCATTACCAAATCTATGTGAATTAGAAACCAGTAGCCCATATGAATATGATAGCATGGCTAGCATGCTAATCTAGTAGGAAGGGATAAGTAGCCATAAGGTCACTCAGATGGATTTCTCTAAAACATTTTAACCCCAAGTTGTAATCTACACTTTCTGCTTTTTTCCTTTGTTTTATCTTTGCAATGGAGTAGGTCAAGAGTATATATGCTGTGATTCTGTTTTTGCTCAGGGATGCTCAGCAAAGTGCTCAAGCTTTGCTTGGAAATATTTTATATATGTACAAACATATAAACACACACACACACAGACATATATATATATATATATATATATATATATATATATATATATGTATGTATGTGTGTATGTATACATATACACATACACACAAATATGCACACATACACACACACACACATACACACACATACATACATATATATAAAAAGGGGGGAAGGAATACGCAAGCTTTAGGAGCCTGCAGCGGGGGGATAGATAATAGCATACGCACAAAGAGGGAGAGGAGGTAGGGAAGTAAGTAACGGAGCAGCAGCCTGAAATAACATCAGGAAAACAGCCAATACACAGTTTAACCTATTAGGACCATTGAATGGACCAATGATGAGGTCCAGGAGCCGTGCGCAAAAACTGGCCAACACTATAAAGGAGACTCCCATTGACATGTTTTAAGCCCTGGTGATGTCGGTAGTTGACCGATGAAAGCTTGGCATTAGATTAAACGTTTTTAGTTTAAATTTTTTCCTGGTGTTCGTGTTTATTTGTTTTTATAATATGACTTCACCCAGGATTCATGTTTTTAATGAAATTAGAAATATATATATATATATATATGTATATATATGAAAAAGAGAGAGAGAGAGAGAGAGAGAGAAATACAGAGACTTATTGATTACATGCAAATTAAGTTATGTTGTATCTTCAGAATGATTTGATTGCTTTAAGTGAACCAGGTTTTGGGCACAGTGGTGTAACAGAAATAGTACCATAGTCCAAAAAATTTTTTGCCATAAATTTCTTCCATTAGAAACTTAAATTCATCCATCACAGATAGATACACAGCTCCTTATTTCCACCGTGATGTCCAAGTTGGATCATTATATTGAAAGCTACACAATCCCCCCTCCTCCAAAGTATACCAAGTCACACCAAGAAGTGGATGTTCCTTGAAATATCTTTCAGGATCATTTATGAAAGCAGCAGTGTAAACATCTTCTAATATCTTAGTTGCAATGGGAAGTTGTTTTGAACATATCACTGTTGGTAAACCATTTACTAAAGTAGTTTCTAGATATTGGTTGATGTATTATTAGTTATACTGGGGTCCTTTTGTGCAAGTTGCTTTCTAGCAGGTTTTCAAAATAGCAAATCCTAGTAAACCTTTTGAAATGAATGGATGACCCTGGGATGTCCCATTAAAAAGCCTTTGAAATCAGATAACTCCATTCTTTGGGGATAGGGAAGAGGAGAAAGCAATGCTGACAGTTTCCTTCAATGCGCTTGAAATTCCCAAATGGCTATTAATGATCTCATTACTGAATTTCATAGGAGACATGAAAGCATTATCACCTTTTTAGATTGTTCTCTCTATGTGAGGCACAGAGAGTGACAAATTACAAACCTTCAACATATTTCCTTCCATCCCAATTGTCTGGTTGTCTATTACCTACTGAAATGGTCTTTCTTAATTGTTAATGGTACTTTTCAGCCTTGTTTCCTGCTTTTTCCTGATTATCAGCATCAAAAACTCAAGATGACAATCTGCTTCAGCACTGTTCTGGGCTGATAACGCTATACAATAGTCTTCTCAGAAGGGAGCACAGCTTTGATAGAATAAAATTTCCTTCATCCCCAGCTTGTTGGGGCCCTTTGTAATTACTCCACATATATATAGAGGACCAGGTAGGGAGGCTGCTCACCGCCATTTCATGTCCCACCCTGTACAAAAATAGTAATTATCACTAATGCACAGATACATAGGTAGTTCTCGACTTACAATGCTTCATTTAGTGAATGTTAAAGTTACAATAGAATTGGAAAAAAAGTGATTTATGACCATTTTTCATACTTATGACTGTTGCAGCATTCCCCATGATCACATGATTAAAATTCAGGTGCTTGGCAGCTGACTCATATTTATGACTGTCGCAGTGTCCTGGGGTCGTGTGATCACCTTTTGCCACCTTCTGACAAGCAAAGTCAAGGTGGAAGCAAGATTCACTTAACAACTGTGTTACTAACTTAACAACTGCAGTGATTCACTCAACAATGATGGAAAGAAAGATTGTAAAATGGGGCAAAATTCACAGTATATATATTAGGCTGTCCTCTGAAAAAAACATTTAGGGATAAATAGAATATTACTATCTGCTTCAAAAGACATGTTACTGCATTCCTTTTCAGAAAAGCCATAAAACAATTTTGAGCAATACTAACAGCCACCTTCATAAACCTGGACATCAGAAAAACCAATTTTATCAAGCAGTCTTTCGTGTAGCTGCCATGAATGTACATAATTTGCCATCATTGTTTTTTGTCTGTTTTTCCCCTTTGTCTGACTGCTATTATTATATTAAATGAGAGAACTATATCTCTCTTCTGCTTTTCTGATGCTTCTAGATCAATATGTATGCTCCTATACTCAGATCACACATAACACCATATGAAAATTGAAATAGTCCTTTTGGAAATTTTTATTCATGCAGCTGAGTGAAAGAACATGTCCTACTCCATTCCTGTTCAGTGAGACATTTGCTTTGCCACACGTGACATTTTTTCTTGATTCAGCACTAGCACTATATTAGTGTTTCCAAAACCTCATTCTCCTTAGGCAGCCAAGCTGATCGTCTTTCGGCTCAGCTAGGGCACCACTCAAATCACACACATTTTGTCTTGCCTCCCAACATTGACATCAGAATTTATGAGCAGATTTCAAGGACAACCTTATCGACAGATCCAGTTTTAAACCCTCTAGTCAATTTCTAATTTGCCACACTATCTCTATTTTTTTTTAAAAAAAAAAATCTAGCTTGTTCTTGTTTGTGTATGCAGCATGCACTAAATTCTTGCCTTCTTCTAACTCCTAGTCCCTGGATTCAAATAAGCCACATTTCCCTACAGACTCACACACAGTTTCACCAGAGTATCTTAAAAACATGACATTAGCTGAGAAAGACATTTGCTGCGAAATGCTGTGTCGTGTCATTTTCCGAGATAATGGAGACAGCAGAATACTATAGAAGAGAAAGAACTGGAGAAGATAACAAAATACAAAGACCTGAAAATAGAAATAGAACGACTGTGGCAAAAGAAAGCAAAGGGAATACCAA